CCCAGGCTGGAGTGCAGTGACATGATTTCAGTTCATTACAACCTCCACCTCCTGGGTTCCAGCGATTTTTTTGCCTCAGCCTCCTGAGTAGCTGGGATTACAAGTGCATGCCACCATGCCTGGCTAATTTTTGTACTTTTAGTAGAGACAAAGTTTCACCATGTTGGTCAAGCTGGTCTCGAACTCCTGACCTCATGATCCACTCGCCTCGGCCCCTCAAAGTGCTGAGATTACAGGGGTGAGCCACCATGCACAGCCGTCTCGTTTTAATTTCTAGATCTCTGCATACTCTTGAGTTTGAGCACTTTATTTGCTTATTAGCCTTTGTGATTTCCTCTTCTGTAAGTTGCCATTTTTTACCTTTTGACCATTCTTTTTCTTGGGATTGGTATATTTTTCTAGTTGACTTGTAGGAGTTCCTTTATGTTACAGACATCAATGTCATGTCAACCTCAAACAATGCAAATATCTTCTATTCAGTCTGTTGTCTATTAGCTTAGCCCATGCTGTCCTTCATTGAACATAAAGTTTTATATAATCAAATTCATTAATTTTGCTTTGTAATTTATGCTAAGTTATTTAAGAAGTCCTTTTTCCTAGAAAATAAAAATGTTCTCATTTTTTTTCTGTAGACTTTATCACATAACTATATTTAGGTATTTGATCTCTTTGCAGTCCCTTTTGAGGAGGTGGTTGAAATCCAGAATTGTTGCCTCCAAGTATGGAGCCACTTTTCTCCTTACTGTACTCTAAACAATCCATCCTTTTCTCATTAATTTATAGTGCTACCTTTATATTATATCAGCTCAATGTGTGTGTATGTGTATATTATGGCTGTTTTATGTACATTTGTGTATGTCACTGAATTCTCTGCTCTAGTCCATTGATCTATTTATCTGTTCTTATACCAACACCACACTGTTTTTATTATTGATATTATTATATTATTGCTCTTAATATTAGATTATGTTTCAATGTTCAGTAATTATTTTTGATATTACAATGAACTCTTGAGGATTAAATTTTTTAATCCAATTAACTTGATTTGTTTGATACATAAAAACAAATCCTTGGGAACTAATAAGTAAAAAGGCATGAAACAGTGATTTTTTTAATACACCATGTTCCGTACAAGCCCATAAAACCAAAGGACATCCCTTTTCATAAAGGGAATAGTGTATTAATTATTTCTTGGCCTTTGCATTATTTTATGAAAGCCAATGAAATTACTTTATAATTAAGTCACCAGCATCAAAAAAACCACAGTAAAGATCTAAAGTATATATTTTATTTTTTATTTCTATATCTTTGCTAAAGCTTAAGTTCTGTTAGATTATGAACAATTTTGAATATTATTATATCCAATAATCTTATATTAAAGTGCTTCCTTATTACAAATGCATTAAATTTTATTTTTTTTAATCTTTTAGGTGCTGGAAATCTTGATGAGGTCAGATTTCTTTTCTTCTCATATTATATTAATATAATTAGAATATTTAACAAGTATTATGATTCACTCCCTATTGGTACATACCAAAACAATGAAAATTCTTATGAGTAATGATATTTTTCCATTTCTAATCTTATTTCATCTAAAATGCTTAAGACATTACACACCAGTCATCACACTGACTCATTAGAATGCTGTAGTGCCGAACATAAACTTTAGTCTGACTGTACATCTGATTTATATAGCAAGATAGAAAAAAAAATCTTTCTGTTTTTGCTTTCCCAGTCTATTTATAAGGAGAAAAGGAAATATTTTAAGCAAGCCAAACTTCCATACACTTAAATTACATAAACTGGCAAATAGCTGTTTTACTGAGTAGTTGAATTATTCTTTCAAAAATAATCACAATATGATTCCTTTAAATATTTATTCCTCTGGAGCATTTAATATGTAGTTCAAATTTTAAAAATTTATGTTTTTGCCTTTATTTTAAGTCTAAGAAATGTAGTATGTGTATGTTAACTTTTTAAATAATAAAAATTAATCATCATCAATGTTTTTCTTTATAGGAACAAGATAGTGAAGGAGAAACATATGAAGACATGTATGAATTACATTTTTAACCATGGCAGTTTTCTTCAAAGATAAATATAATATTTTGTATGAGGGAGAGTGTGTATATAACACCACTGGGGGGAAGCTTGAATTGTTCAAATGACTGACATATAATAACTTTTATTTCAATTTAAAAGACCAAAACTTATTTAGCTCTCTAAGAATTCTACAAAGGACTCTATTAAAAAGCTGTTGTGTGAGAGGCCAGAGATGTGCAGTCTATGAGATAAACCACAGGCAGGGAATCAGAGACAGAAATCTGGATTTCTTAATCTTAGTGTATCCTTGGGCAGATGAGTTAATATCTGTTACACCTTCTTCACCTGAACAGACCTCCACCCACAGGGGTGCTATGAAAAATAATTTATCGTGGAGCCCAGAAGTGTCTGCTGGTAAAGTGAAAAGATGTTAAAAAAAAAAAAAAAAAAAAAAAAGAAGTTTTTTGAAAAAGAAATTTCTTGGAAAGTGGATGAAAGTAGAAATGAATATATTATCTTACTTTATCATATGGTGATCTCAGATATCTTAATTTTTTATACCCAGTAATTATTCAACCAATTCTGACTCAAGTTTCTGAGCCAAAGTTTATATGTGTACCTGTGAATGCACAGGCATGTGTGCATATGACAGAGAGAAAAAGAGATGGATTCTATTTATGCCAACATACAACAAGAATGGGGCCTTTATAAATGGTGGCTTCAACTTGCTGGCACCAGTTGTCAGGGAAAGCCGAGCCTTTGGAAGGTAGCTATAGCTGTGTGCCTCCTACTGGTTTTAAAAATAATTTCACACATTCTGGATTTTGACAACCCTTGGTTTTTTACCTTCATCCATACTTCAGATGCCACCTTTTCTGTTGTGAGTAGAAACTTCTAGGTAGGGAGCTCCGATACCTCAACACCTGCTGATGTGAAAACAATCTAACAATTTTTATTCATAGAGAAGCATCCAAAGAAAGAGAAAAGAAAAGAGAAAAGGAGGAAAAGAAGAGATTAGAGCTGGAGAAAAAGGAACAGAAAGAGAAAGAAAAGAAAGAACAAGAAATAAAGAAGAAATTTAAAGTAAGTGCTTGCTTGCTGATGAGTGAAAGAGTAACGTCTTTTTATACCTTTCACACAAAAGGGATACCATTCTGGAAACTTTACATAGTTGAAGAATTACTTACTCGTTGTTTTCTAAAGAGCAATTATCTTCATAACAGTACTTTTTTGTCCAATACACCATCTTATCCCTGAACTAATATAATAAAATTTAAATAAAATATGGTGTTTTATAATTAGTGGGCACCCAGGACATTTAATATTGATTGAGTGAATGAATATTTGCTTCTTCAAACCCATCTTGGCTCTCCCCATAACACATTTCTTATAATATAGCCTAGTTATACCATGAGCTTAGCATCACACACGTAAATATCCCTGTGGTTTGTTTTATAGTGGGGCATTAGACACAGATGTCCCCAGGGTAAACCAGACCTGTCTCAGAATAAGATTTCCATGAGCTACATTACTAGAATCTAGACCTGATTTACATTTTTGCCTTTATTTTAAGTCTATATACATGCAGACTTCTGATACCTGCTGTTTCTCATCCCTCTTTGTCTACCTGGATTCTGATCTCTGTATTCTCTGATCTCTGGTAATTGTGTGTCTTCTACCATTACTACCACCAGTGAACACTACTCACTGGCTATTTTCTCCTGGCTACACCATCTTTGATGGCAAGGCTCATCCACCACAGATTATCTGAATTACAGATAATTCAGATAATCACCCTAAATATGTCTGACATGCTACACATATTTACGGTGATTATCTGAATTACAAAATTATTCTTTCAAAAAGAATTCACAGTATGGCTTCTTTAAATATTTATTCCTCTGGAGCATTTAATATGTGGTTCAAGTTATAAAAACTTTGATTTATATATGACTTCCCAGTATATTTATAGTATTAAAGCAAAGGTTCAATCAATGCATGGTACAGGGAAAACATATAGCAGCAAGTCAGTTAGACACACTGAATCAAATCCTAGTTGTACATACAAGTTATGTGATCCTGGGCTTTTCACTTAACTTCTCTGAGCCCCTGATTCTTAATCCTTTTTTTTTTTTTTTTTTTTTTGAGACAGTGTCTCATTTTGTTGCCAGGCACCAGGCTGGAGTGCAGTGGCACAAGCTCTGCTCACTGCAACCTCCACCTCCCGGGTTCAAGCAATGCTCCTGCCTCAGCCTCCCAAGTAGCTGGGACTACAGGCACATGCCACCACGCCCAGCTAATTTTTTTTTTTTTTAGTAGAGATGGGGTTTCACCATGTTGGCCAAGATGGTCTCGATCTCTTGACCTCATGATCCACCCACCTCAGCCTCCCAAAGTGCTGGGATTACAGGCGTAAGCCACCATGCACAGCCGTTTCTTAAGTGAGAATAAATGACATTACTCCAGAAAGTTTGTTACAGAACTAAAATAATACACAGCAGGCACTGTATCATAACATTCTCATTTGATTTTGAAAAAACTTGCTATATATAAGTAAAATTATGATTACAATATTAATATTAGAACATTTTACTCACACAAAATGCATGACTACCACTGTTTATCTTTTTCGAGTGAAAAATTAATTTCAATTAATTTATGAAAATTTATATAGTATACTTTCCATGAAGAGATTGTTTGTCGATTTAAAGGAATTATGTAAGGTTTTTCCATATGTTTCTTTTGGAGAAATCAGTTTTATATTATCTCATTCATTCAAATAATATTTTTAGTAAGAAAAGATAGGGTGTGGAAATCATACCATTAAATATGAAGTCAAAAGTTTATCAAGAGTAGGACTTCGCTAGCTATATTCCTTCCACAAGATGTTAATAGATAATATGCAAAAAATTAAATAAATACGAGAACTGAGCCTCATCAACATCATGGCATATCGTAATTTAACTTAAATTATTTTCTTTATTTCTTCGTGGTGCATGATAATGATACATGTTTACAATTAATGGCATCATAAATAAAGTAAGGTAGATCTTTAAAAGTCATAATGCATATTTGCATATCAGAAGATTCAAGAAATTCTGTTGTAAAGACACCAATTTAGGATTAGAAAATTAAAAGTTTAGGATTCATGGTCTAACCAAGATCATTACCCTTTTACTAATAAGCCACCATACTATTCAGAATATTAATTTTTAAAACCTCGTGTGACATTTGCTTGCTATTTTTTGATTGGCAAGCCTATTTCTGAAATTTTGTCGTGTTTATAGCAGGTAATGTCTGCTCCAATTTTACAAACAGGCAGCTACCACAAAGTTAAAAAAAATTAAAAGGATAAGAAAAAAAAGGAAATGCTTTTCCCACAAGTTCAATCCAGCACCACCACCTAATCTTCCTTTTGGTGTTTTAGATCTGCAGAGATGCATTAGAATAACTACACAATACAAAGGGGGAAAAACTCCATCTTCCAAAGAGAATCCTGGCATATTCCATAAAGACAAATAGCACACAGCATGGATTGTTGTACATAAGTGCTATTCAGCTATGGGGGCTGCCTTTGCAGGCCTCTTCCAGAATTCCTAGGTCAACAGATCCCTGCCTCACTCCCCTGACCCCTGCACATGTTAACCTGTTCTTAGCTGGTCCTCCTTAGCCTCCGTGATTTTTCCCTAACCCTTCCTATAAGAAAATATTCACCTTCAATTTCTAGTTAAACCCTATAAATGTTGGTTATAGGTAGGTTAGCAAGTTGCAGACTTATTATCTTTCAAAATTGCATTCCTTAAAGATTTTCTAAATAGTAAGGAAATCTTTTTATTTAGAATCTTTAAAATAGAACGTAGGCTTACATATAAAGTTCAGAATCTTTATTTTTTTTCTCTTTGCAGCTAACAGGTGATTATTTTTTTCTCCTTGCAGCTAACAGGCCCTATTCAAGTCATCCATCTTGCAAAAGCTTGTTGTGATGTCAAAGGAGGAAAGAATGAACTGAGCTTCAAGCAAGGAGAGCAAATTGAAATCATACGCATCACAGACAACCCAGAAGGAAAATGGCTGGGCAGAACAGCAAGAGGTTCATGTGAGTGCTAATTTCTCTACAGCTTCAAAGTGTTTTCTTTGCGAGGCAATAATCAATGTACATATTCCTTCAGAACTCCTCATAGGCATCAAGTTAGGAGTATTTTCCAGGGTGGACAAAGGTAGGAAAATGTTAAATAGCAGGTAGAGTTCCATCTTCACCTCATCTGTGTTATCTTTCTTGTGGGAAATAATGTAAAGTTTATATTACTCCAGGAGGAACAAACAGCATTAGGTTTTTCATTGATGTTAAAAAGAAAAAATGCTTCATGTGAATCACTTTAGAATCTTTAAAACAGAATGTAGGCTTACATTAAACTACAACAGGAATAGACTTTGACAGACTACGGTAAAATGTGGGTCTACCTGGGAGGTCTATAAATCAGAACTACAAGAAAATAAATCAAGGGAGAGTTTGAAGAGCAAATGTGCAATTAATATTTTATTCACAACTTTAAACTATTTAAACTACAGTTGCCTGAACATAAATCTTTCGCTTTTTGGTAGATGGCTATATAAAAACAACTGCTGTAGAGATTGACTATGATTCTTTGAAACTGAAAAAAAACTCTCTTGGTGCTCTTTCAAGACCTACTGAAGATGACCAAGAAGTATACGATGATGTTGCAGAGCAGGATGATGTTAGCAGGTATGTGCAAGTGTGTATTGTAGAACAGATCAAACTGTCTCCTTGTCAGAGATTTTGTATTTTAAGATTCTAGAATTTTACCTTCCATATCTCCTACTGCTCTCTATCACTAAACTAAATGACCACTTACAATAATCCCAACATGGGTGAAAGGTCATTTGAAACTCCATAGCATTTCTATATGATATGCATCAAATACTACTTGAAATATAGTGGGCCATTTGCCAGATCTTGTAAAATGTGTTGTCATTCTAAAACACTTTTATAATGTTCATTATGAGTTGATCTTAGGGATATGCCTAATATAAGTATGATTTGGTGAAATATGAAGCATAAAATATAAAATTTACCCCATTTTTTGTCTGAAATCTCTGATTCTAAATGTTTGTTGTTATTTTTGATAATATATCTAAAAAATGACTCCATTGCAACCTCAGTTTGCTCTTTAAAAGTAAAAACTTCATTCTTTATGGTCCCTAGGTGTCATTTAAGGGTCCAACTTTTCATGGCCCATTTACTCCACTAGATTAAAGTGACCTTCACTCTAAGAATTATGGGAACACCTTCCTGGTATAGGGGAACAGAATAGAACATCTTTTCTGGAGGACCAATGAGAGGAGTTTGGCCATCCCTCCCTTGTACCTCTCCTTCCCTTCTTTCCTTTCTCAGTCTTCTGCTTCCTTTCTCTCTCCATCTCTCCTCGTCTTCTCTTTGTTCCAGTTCTGATTTTCTGTTGTTCTTTTATGTCTTTTGTACTTTTCCATTCCCCTTCTCCTTTCATTCCTTCTTTCCTCCAACGCCTCCCTTTTCAGTTAAAGCCATAATCATCTCAAGTTGAAAGGAAAAAAGGAGAAAAATCTCTAGCCCAGTTCAAAATCTTTATATTTTTTATGACTACCTTATAAAACTAGAAAACCTCCATTGTAATCCCAAAAAGCATAATCTGTGCTAGCTCTTCACATAGGTAAAACTGTGTCTGCATTCTTCGTAAGTCAAATTTCAAAGGAAACAATGTTAATTGTCAGCCAGTTCTAAAATACCAATATAAATATAGTAATACACTTATAAAGCATATGAAGAATTACATTTTCCTCTTATGATCTTTTATATCATGATATCAGTTAAATTTGTTATGTGTCTTTCTAGTAGTTTTGTCTTTCTAAAATGAATTATAGCCTGATATGCCTTCTTACCATGTTCTAAGCATAAATTATGCAACATATATCAAAATATACAACGCATGCACCAGAGTTTGGAGATCATTAATAGACTTTAGTCATAAGAAACACATTGACCTAGTGTGAGTCAGTAAATGCCAGTTTTGAGGTCAGCTGAAATTCCAAATTGTCATATTCTGTAATTTCCAGAATTTTCTGGATGTAAGTATATCAAGTATATTATCAATGTATATACACCTTGTGTGTGTCTTTTATTTGTTTTTTTAAAAGAACATTTCTTTAATTTTTGGTGAAAGATTTCCAGTTACATTAATGAACACATATTTACACTGATGTGCATTCTCAAGAAAAAAATAATAAATCCAGGAAAAAAATGATGTTCTTAAAATGGAACTTTGTTTAACCATGTTGGATGACTATTTCCCAAAACTAGCATTATCGCCTTTTTCTATTTTATTGAATCCATACATACCATAACTCTAAAAACCTGCTCCAGTTTAGTAAACAAGTAATGGGAAAAGAATCTTTAGTAAAAGAAGGAAGTTGGAAGAGTTGTATGGTTTTAACACTCAGTATTTTAAACAAGCATAGCCCCACAATATTTACTAGCATCTATCCCTCTCTTATGCACCCTTAATAAGAAAATTAAAGAAGCCATTTCTATACATGTTTTATTTTTGAAACTGCAGCTGCTGCTGCCAGAGATCTCATAACAGAACATGCTTTGTTCTTAGTAGAGAAAGGGAAGATGCTGAGTGTAGCCGGCATCTTGCCCTGGCAAGAATAAGAAGAAAACGCATCATCTTCTTCTCCCTCCTGCTTATGACTCCTGGCTCGGGCACTCTACCGGCTCTTCCCTGATTCCCTAGAGTGAACAGCGATGGCTGTGAGTGCTTGAAACTCTAGGAGCAGACTTGAGGCTTCAGAGCACAGCCTCTGACAGCTGTCCTTCCTTCTCTTTTTCTTCTCCACTAAAACAATATCTACAGCAAATTTGAAACATTGAAGAAAAAAGAATTGCAAATGTAAATACCCCTCTTCCATTTCATAGCAAATCTTCTTCCTTCCATGTACCTCTCTCTCTCTCTCCCTCTCCTCTCCTGCCATGCCCTGCTCTCTCTACCTCTTCTTCACTTCATCAAATATGTTACATTCTAAACAGGCCATTTTAGGAAGTGAATAATTGTTCTAGAAATGAAATAAAACAGGAGCTTTGCTCCTGATTCCAACAACCCTGTTCTTTGGAAATTGGTATAAAAATCCAAGATGAAAAGTATCTGCCAAGAGTGGCAGCCAAGAAGAGTGCAGCTCTTCACATAATTCCAACCGCCTGCTTCATGCATCATGCTCAGAGGGAAGAGTCAGGAAAAATAAATGTCAAAATGGCACATAAGAAAGCGGAGAGTATACTGCAACTTCTTCAAAAAACAGTTCCTCATTTATATAGGAAGACATTTATAGCCTGTTTTTCTACAAAGTTTCTGACAGCAACTTTATGTTTTTATTTCAAATTTAACAGGAGATCTGCATCAGATCAATTTCTTTCACTCACTTTTAACATTAGGAAATCAGATATGAGTACTATATAACTGTCCACTAAGACACTAACATTAAACGGATATCTGTTGCCGGCAGATTAACTAATGTGGAAAACTGGGGGTATAGTGAGTGCAGCTAGGTGTAAAAGTGGGAGTGATCAAGTCAATTTCTCAGAGCCTGGTTTCTTTCTTTTTTTTTTTATTTTCTTTTTCTGAGCCAGAGTCTCACTCTGTTGACCAAGCTGGAGTGCAGTGGCGTGATCTTGGCTCACTGCAACCTCCGCCACCTGGGTTCAAGCAATTCTCCTGCCTCAGCCTCCCAAGTAGCTGGGACCACAGGCGCACGCCAACACGCCCAGCTAATTTTTGTATTTTTAGTAGAGACAGGGTTTCACCATATTGGCCAGGATGGTGTCCATTTCTTGACCTCGTGATCCAACAACCTCGACCTCCCAAAATGATGGGATTATAGGCGTGAGCCACCGTGCTGTGCCTGAGCCTGGTTTCTTTTCTGTACAATGAGGAAATTGAAGAGATGACTTCTGGGATTTTTTTCCATTCTCAGAATCTACATTTCCTTTGCTCTCACAGAACTCACATTTTAGTGGGAGATATAGGCAAGAAAACAGACAATGATAACATACATGCTAAAGTAGAGAAACTATAGGATGTTATGGAAGTAAATAAGAAACACAGGCAATCTGAATTTAGAGACGAGTCATATCAAATAAAAGCCCCATGAATGAGATTTCAAGTTTTTAAAAGTTCTCCCTTTAAAAAAATGATTGCTATTACACTAAGAGCAAAATGCTGCGGTCATAAGATATTGAAAGATAATCGAATTTAACGGAATGATAATTGCTCTGTGTGACTCTTGGAATAATATCCTTGGGGTTTGTTTTAATGGTTCATCTATGGAATGATGTAATAATATATCATCTGAAAACAACCGCATAGAAAAATGTCAAAAGCAAACAATATCATCATTTTCAATATCATATGTAGTGCTGTAATTTACTTAATTCTTGTTTTTGTTTGTGTTGTTTTACCGCCTTGTCATTACTCGTCTATGATGTTAAGAAACGTATTTTCCTCTTCACATGTAACATTCTAAGAACTTTCAACTGGAATGTTATTTCTCTTTTGAATAACCAATGAGGAAATGTACTTCTCTTCCTCATAGCTAATTAATTCATAGATTAATTTGATATTTTGGGATTTTTTCTAGCCACAGTCAGAGTGGAAGTGGAGGTAAGCACACACTTCTTAAAATTCCATTTTACAATTGATAAATATATTTGCATATATTTATGGAGCCCATGTGATATTTTATTACATGCATAGAATGTGTAATGTTCAAGTCGGTGTATTTAGGCTATCCATCAGCATGAGCATTTATCATTTTTATGTGTTGAGAACATTTAGAGTTCACACTTCTGGCTATTTTGAAATGTACAATATATTATTATTAACTATAGTCACCCTACTCTGCTATTAAACATTAGAACTTATTTTTTCTATCTAACTGTATGCTTGTGCCCATTCACCAATCTCTCTTTATGTCCCCCAAAATACATTCACACCTGTCTCAGCCTCTGGTAACTATCACTCTACTCTCTACCTCCATGAAATCTACTTTTTTAGCTTCCACATATGTGTGAGTACATGCAATATTTGTCTTTCTATATCTGACTTATTTCTTCTAATATGGCCCCCAGTTTCATTCATGTTGCTGCAAATGACATGATTTCATTCTTTTTTATGACCAAATAGTATTCCATTGTGTATATACCATGTTTTCTTTATTCGTTCATCCAATGATAGACAATTAGGTTGATTCTATATCTTTATGACTGTGGATAGTGCTGCAATAAACATGGGGATGCAGATATCCATTTGATATACTGATTTCCTTTTCTTTGGATAAATATCCAGTAGTGAGATTGCTGGATTGCATGATATTTCTATTTTTAGTTTTTTTGAAAAATCTCCAGAATATTTTCCATAATCACTGCACTAATGTATATTTCCACCAACAGTAAATGTTCCTTTTTTTTTCCACATCCTTGCCAGCATTTGTTATTATTTTTCTTTTTGATAACAGCTATTCTAACTGGGGTAAGATAATACTTATCTCATTGTGGTTTTGATTTGCATTTCCCTGATGATTAGTGATGTAGAGCATTTTTATAATATACCTGTTGGCCATTGTATGTCTGTTTTTGAGGAATGTCTTTTTAGATCCTTTGCCCATTGGGGAATTTTGCTGTTGAGTTGATTGAGTTTTTGTATATTCTGAATATTTATCCCTTTTGGGATGAATCGTTTGCAAATATTTTCTCCCATTCAACAAGTCATCTCTTCACTCTGTTGATTGCTTTGCTATACAGAAGCTTTTAGTTTGATATAATCCCATTTGTCTATTTTTGTTTTTGTTGCCTGTGCTTTTGGGGTTTTAGTCATAAAATCTCTACTTAGATCAGTGTCTTGAAGTGTTTTCTCTATGTTTTCTTTTTATTGTTTTCTACTTTTAGGACTTATTTTTAAATCCTTAATCTATCTTGCGTTGATTTTTGTATATGGTGAGAGATAGGGCCTAGTTTTATTATTTTACATATGGATATCCAGTTTTCCCGGTACCATTTATTGATGAGGATTTTTCCCCCCAGTGTATGCGCTTGGTGACTTTTTCTAAAATCAGTTGGCTATAAATATATGGCTTTACTTCTGGGTTGTCTATTCTGTTTCATTGATTTTCGTTTCTGTTTTTATACCAATGCTATACTGTTTTGGTTACAACAGCTTTGTAGTATAATTTGAGGTCTGGGAGGGTGATGCTTCCAGCTTTATTCTTTTGCTCAGGATTGCTTGGCTATTAATGCTCTTTTTTTATTTCATACAAATTGAAGGATTGTTTTTACTATTCTGTGAAAAATGACATTGGTATTTTGATAGGGGCTGCATTAAATTTGTAAATTGCTTTAGATAGTATGGTCCTTTTAACAGTATTAATTCTAATATATGAGCATGAGAAACTATGCACTTTATCAGTAATTTCTCCATAAGTCTTCATTATGTTTGTGTATATTAATGAAAAAAATACCTTAGTTTACAAATAATGAGAGAGATCTTAATATGACGGAAACAACACTAGCTTGGGAGTCAATGAACTGGATTCTAGTCCTGGCCACCAACTGACTATGAGCAAGAAACTCTTTCTTTTAAGTTTGTTACAGATCATATGGTGACTCTACTCCAATGTGTTCAAGGCAGTCTTGATTTATACCAGTCATCAGACCACAATTTGTTTTTTTTTTTTGAGACAAAGTCTCACTCTGTCACCCAGGCTGGAGTGCAGTAGCATAATCTCCTCTGGGGTTCAAGCAATTCTAGTGCCTCAGCCTCCCAAGTAGCTACCACACCCAGCTAATTTTTGTATTTTTAGTAGAGAAGGGGTTCAACCATGTTGGCCAGGCTGGTCTCAAACTCCTGGCTGGGCATGGCGGCTCACTCCTGTAATCCCAGCACTTTGGGAGGCCAAAGCAGATAGATCACCTGATGTCAGAGCACAATTAATAACAGCATTCTCCTTCACTTTCAGAAGTGTTTTGGTTTGGATAATAACCTACCAAGTCACCTTGACTCTAGTTCAGTGGCCCCTATATTTCCCAGCAACAAAATAAGGGAGTTGATCTAATACATTGCAGTGCTAAAATCTTCATACTAAAAGTCAAATTTCAAGGTCATTTTACATATTTCCTGCACATAGAAAGTACTCAATAAACAATTGTTAAGTAAATATCTGTCAAATAGCAAGTTTCCTGAGGAGCATAGAGTAACAAATGAAAGGAGAAAGAGTTTAACTTTCAAAAATAGGTATTTTAAAAGTCACTTTTCACTTATTTTTGTTTCAACTACCATCAATGTTTACAGAGTCACCTTTCATTCATTTGCTTTTCTTCACTTGTATCTTGATTAGCATCTTCCTAAATTTCTCTTCACTATTAACTAGTTAGCTAGATTTGTGTCACCTCCTCACGTCCCTTTCCACAATAAATATTTAACTCCATTTCCTATTTAAGTTTACTTTTTCTCATGTTTATGCACCCTCATCCCTTTCAACTCAAGTCCACAGTGCCTCTTAGCCCTCATTTTGTTATTGTAATTTCAGCCCTAAGAATTCTTTATAAAATGATCAACAAAGTAATTAATTATGGGATAGTAGGAAAATAAAGATTTTTATCTAAATGGATTATATGAAAGTGAAATGCTCTCTGCAGTTAAATAAGGAAGATTTATAATTAAAATCTGAGTGACCATTACATGACTAAATTATAAAATTAACAGAAGATTTTCCCCCAATCCAAATGAAGGGCTATTCCCTCCACCACCAGATGATGACATTTATGATGGCATTGAAGAGGAAGATGCTGATGATGGGTAAGAATAATCAGTGAACTGCTTTTTGCAAATTATTATTATATATATGAAATTTAGTTTTGATTTTCAGTTAAAATAAAAAGCAGAAAATAGTGTTCTTTCGTACATTACCCCAAATGATTTGAATGTTTAAGTAACAGCAATTGTAAGCCAGGAAGTGTAATTACAACACACTTCAAATGAAGTGGTTGATTGTTTGGAAGATCCTCAGTAACTATGGCAAAAGAAGTCAAATGAAAAAAAGATAAATTACAGGTGTTGTGGATATTTTTTGAAACCTTTTCTAGGCTGGGCGCGGTGGCTCAAGCCTGTAATCCCAGCACTTTGGGAGGCCGAGGCGGGCGGATCACGAGGTCAAGAGATCGAGACCATCCTGGTCAACACGGTGAAACCCCGTCTCTACTAAAAATACAAAAAATTAGCTGGGCATGGTTACACGTGCCTGTAATCCCAACTACTCAGGAGGCTGAGGCAGGAGAATTGCCTGAACCCAGGAGGCGGAGGTTGCAGTGAGCTGAGATAGCGCCATTGCACTCCAGCCTGGGTAACGTGAGTGAAACTCCGTCTCAAAAAACAAAACAAAAAAAAAACCTTTTCTAATCAAGTCTTTATTGATCAATAATTTACTTTTACAACAATCCCTGAAGAGTTTATCAGTTGCATGGCTATCCCTTGTGTAATAACATGATTATAATATAGGCAGCCCAAATAAACTGAGACCATATGCTACCTGTGGCAGAACCAGTATTGAATACTTAATCCTTTAGCTTAAAAAAACGTATCTGTTCATTTATAATAATTATAACAATTCACAAAAATAAAAATATTTTAGGTCATAAAATAAATTTTCTTTTCCATTTTAAATGGCATATTTTAAAATTTAAGATCCCTTAATTAATTCATTTTAATCATAAATAAAGCAAAATTGATGCTTAAGCTTTTGTGGCTTTCTTTTCTGAGACCAGGCCTCACTCTGTTGCCCAGGCTGGAGTGCAGTGGTAGGATCATAGCTCACTGCAGCCTCAAACTCCCAGGCTCAAGCAATCCTCCTACCTCAGCCTCTGAGCAGTTTGGGACCACAGGTGTGCACCACCACACCCAGCTAATGTTTTTTTTATTTTTTGTAGAGATGAGGTCTCACTATGTTGCCCAGGCTGGTCTCAAACTCCTGGGCTTAAGCAATCCTCCTACCTTGGCTTCCCAAAGTGCCGGGATCACAGGTGTGAGCCACCACACCCAGTTGTTTAAAACTTAATCCTTACGGACTTGTTTCACATTTTAAGAAGTGAGAGAATTCTCACTTAATAGAAAAAAAAATTATCAAGATAGTAGAAGCATTATTCAATCACCGTGATCTATAAGCTTAATAACACTATCTTGTTCAATGCAATTGGTTGTTTACTGCCTGAATTATTAATGGAGTGTAATTATAAAGAATCTAAATATCCACAAAATGTCTTCACTTGCCACTGATTATTACATTCTGATCAATGCCTGCATGCTCCAAAGCTCCATGCTACAGGTTCAAGAGAAGAGTAACACGTGGTCCTGGGGGATTTTGAAGATGTTAAAGGGAAAAGATGACAAAAAGAAAAGTATACGAGAGAAACCCAAAGTCTCTGAGTCAGACAATAATGAAGGTTCATCGTAAGAGTCAACCAACCAAATCCAGTATACAATAATTACACTAATATGTATTAAATCAAATGCTACTAATATTCTATAACCAATAACCAAATTCTGGTAGACTTAAATCATCTTAATGTAATTTTCCATTAATCACCTTAGCCCCATTTATGGTGTCATCTTTAAGCTCATGCGTTACATAAGAGAAGGCCAAGTACTCAAAAATCATTATACAGTTTAAAGATATACTTTACTTTCTTCACAAACATGCACAAAAACACACAAGTACACATAAGTACACATATACCCTCTCACGCTCATGCACACAGTCATACACAAACACTGACACACACATTTAGTAGGACTTTTTAAAATATAGCGTTCCATCTGAAAACTCACAATTCCAATGCCACATTTTACTATATAGTATTTTTTATTGAATACTCTTCAAAATATACATTCTTTTTTAATAATTAGCTTGAAATAAAGAACATGATTTTGAATTTTTTCTTTAAATATAATAATTGAAGCCTTGTAATTCTGTTCCACTATAATGATATAATAATTAGTTTTCCTGTACTAAAAGTATTCTAAATATCTCAAGTTTGTTTAAATAAAATCTAAGGCTATGGTAGCGTGGCCGAGCGGTCTAAATAAAATCTAAGGCATAACTTTTCTCTGTCCAGTCCAAAAATAATGCTGTAGTATAAATTCCATACATATGAATTTGAAAGATCTTAATCACATTCCCTGGTAAAAGAAAATCTTTCAGTTTTTATTTACCTCATAAATTCACCACATTTAGCTGAAGTCTTTATAAGATGTTAATTCCATATAGCGTTCCCAATTGGGTTGTAAAACACCAAAGCAACAAGTCAATACACAGTACACTTGAAATTCCAGGAAAACACAAGAAACCTTCCCTTCTCTTGAGCAACATTACTCAAATATATCCCTTACTTAAAAATAAGAGATAGAGTTTTTTTTTTTTTCTGCTTCAATTACACCCAAATCTGATTTGGGATTAAATTAATAATTCCTCACACTCTATTCTAACCAGTCATTTCTGTTCCATGCACCATTCTTTCCGTGGTGTGTGTGTGTGTGTGTGTGTGTGTGTGTGTGTGTGTGTTGTATTTAGAAGTCATGTTTCAGGAAATAGAAGCACTGGTGTTCTGTTGCAGCTACATGCCACCTAATCCTAATTTCAGATCACTTTAATTAATAAGTTCTCACTCTCTGGTTTAAGTAAATATTCCTCTTATTCACCATTTTCCTGTTTGGGGATACATATGCAAATACTGGGAAACATTGTCATATTCCTATGACCTCTGTTAGTTTTGAGTCTGTATTTCTACTCTTTAATTCAAATAAGCAGTTTGGAGGCAGAGATACGTATGCCACGATGACTCCAAAATACTGAGTCCCTTCATTTACTCTGGTGTAATATGCCCAAACCTCATATTAAAAAAAATCTGGAAATTTTGGGCCAATGACTGTGGGCAAAATAAACGAATTGAGTATCTTGACTCTGGATGTTTTGGCAAACATTTGGGTTAAAAAAATTTCTTTTATTTATGTATTTATTGAGGTGAGTTTTGTTCTTGTTGTCCAAGCTGGAGTGCAATGGCACGATCTCAGCTCACTGCAACCTCCATCTCCTGGGTTCAAGCAATTCTCCTGCCTCAGCCTCCTGAGTAGCTGGGATTACAGGTGCTACAGGCGTGCTCCACCATCCCCAGCTAATTTTTTGGTAAATTTTTTTAGTAGAAATGAGGTTTCACCATGTTAGCCAGGCTGGTCTCAAACTCCTGACCTCAGGCGATCCACCCACCATGGCATCCCAAAGGGCTGGGATTGCAGGCGTGAGCCACCGCACCTGGCCCAAAAAGTTTCTTGCTAAATTCCAAATTGATAAACAGAAATGGACTTAGTGGAGAAATGGAGGCTGAGAAAGAAAGAATGATGAACAGATTAATTAACCTAATATGCCTCCAGGCTGTTGCCTCTTTATACTCTCTTACATAACGGAATCAATTTCTGCGTTCACATTAGTCTGATTATAATTGTGTTCTTACTTTCTTTGTAGTTTCCCTGCTCCTCCTAAACAATTGGGTGAGTAATAAAAACTAATTGTATGTTCTGTATCTTTATTTCTTGCAGTGTGGTAATGGGAAAGCGTTGGATATAGTCACAGTATGTGCATTAAAGTCCTGACTCTGAAAATAATAAATTGTGTAACCTCAAGCAAGTAACTTCGCCTTGAGGGGCCACAGTTGCTCAATGATAAAATAACAAGATGAGAAAAATAAAAAAGACTGATAGTTTTTGTTTTTCCTTTTTTCTTCTTTCACCTCTACCTAGAAAAATAAGACTGACAGTTTTTAAACTGTTCTCCCAGGAGCAGGAGTGGCAAATAGTGGCTCCTATGGAGTTAGGGAAAAGTGGGAAGGGAAGGGCACCAACTTTCCCTATGTCCGCCCGCCCCAGTTCAGTCCAAACTTGATACATAAGACTTCTGCATAAGGATAGCTAAACCCACGCCAGATTATATGCCAGTAAGGGACTCTTCTAAATCTAATTTCTTCTGATATTTAAATGGATAGTTTATATTGTGTTTGGAAAATGTGAAATATAACTGTTTCCTTATACAATTTCAATCAGTTATTATTTTTTCATCCCTTCTGAGACAGATCTTTAGATGTTTTTAAAATTTACTTTGAACAAAGTAAAATCTTATCTCAAGAATATTCAGGGGCTTTCAAAAAGTTTACTTATTTTAACCTATGAGTATATTAAAAGAGCAAACCAACACAGCGGTAATCTATTCTTCTAGACCCTTTATCTGATATTAGAACTTTCTTTTCAGTTATCAATTTGAAAATATGTAAGAGACCAAATCAAACTGCTCAGTGCCTGATAATAAACTTGTATTCTAGTCTATAATATTTTAAAAGTATTCAAAAAAATTAATGCCACAAAAAGTAGGTATAAAATGGAACAAATGTAATCAATTCTGTAAAAAATAAAGTTTTGTTAAAATTGCTTGTTGTTCTTAATGTGGACTCAGGGAGAGGAGCATCACACACTGGGGAAAGTTGCGGGGGTAGGGGAGAGACAGCAGAGGGTGGGGAGGGATAACATGGGGAGAAATGACAGATATACTATGCACCTAAAGTAAAATAAATAAATTTAAATTAAAAACAAAAAAAGAATTGCTTGTTGTTCTTAAATGTGTTTTAAATGCATGTGCACGGAGTAATAACTTTGACCCTTCTAGATGATATTTTTTAAAGCATTTATTTTTCATGCAGCTGAGCAAGTTTTATCCTGTTAAATTAGTTAACCTGAATACACACACAAGGGAGGGAGATATGGGGGTGGAATTTATAAAGGAAATCAATTCTTTGCCACTACCAGAGAACATTTAAACTCTTTATGGTAACGACTCCTTAAAATATTTGCAATTTCTTCGATTCAATCTCTTCAGCTTCATTGACTGTAGAGCAATTGATATGTACAGAGGGGAAGCATTCTTCCTGACTTTACTAATAAGAAGCCTTGAAGGAAGAAACAGCTCTAATGATTGGAAAAGGCATTGAACCAGTTAAGGTCATGACAATTTTTCTGCCAATACTGTTTCTCAATACCTGTTTGTATCAGAAGTATTTAATTAAAAGAAATAATCTTTCCATTTAAAGGCAGTGCCACTCCTAATATCACTGTAAGGTAAAAGGTAATGGAAAACAGATCAGTGAAAGGAAGGAAAGAAGGAAGGAAGGGGAAGGATATTTAAATAGGATGATATATATTATCACAGCCCCCTAAATCTTACAAGAATCACAATTCATATCTCTACTTCATCCTGCCAATGACCAGTAATATTGATTTATTTATCAGCAATTTGCAACTCCTGCCTTTCATTGCACTTGTAGATCTTCAGATAATCTTAGTCACTGTGCCATGAGTTTTTTTCCGGATAATAATGATTATCATTACGTCACTGGTTTTTTGAGGATGATTTAATATATACATCCTGGCAAATAACAACCTCTCCCCTTTCAGAATCAGACAGCGCTTCCAGGAGAAATGTACCGAGACACTAGGAAAACTTTTTATTGTTCTTGAAGCAATCTTTATATTAAAAACCTCACTGAATGCTCATATCAAAATCTAAACTAACAGTGTTTCGACCTTTGATATTCTGCCTTTTGTTAGACATGGGAGATGAAGTTTACGATGATGTGGATACCTCTGATTTCCCTGTTCCATCAGCAGAGATGAGGTAATTAAAATGCTTTCATTACAATGAAGTAATGAAAATGAGATTACTCAAGAAAATTCAACTGAAATAAAAACCCAGTGGGATGTGTGTCTACTGTGTGCGATGACGTTGGCTCTGGCCTCGTCTCCAAAGCTGTTTTCTTCCCATCTCAGCTCTACCCTCTCTGCTAGGGTTGTGAGTAGATAGCCCCAATTCTTTGCTCCCACCTCCATCTCTTCCTTCTCTCCTTTTCTTCCATCCCCCAGGTTCTGTCCCTTGTTTCCTGGTTAGCCTTGGGCCTGTGACTCACTGATGTCTGGTTCATTTATTCATTTATTCACTGGGAAAATATGTTTAAGATCTTGGGTCACAACCAGTCTCACAGATTCTTCTTCTCTCTTTGTTTTTACTGTTTTCCCCAAACCATTTTTTTCTTGATTATACTTCTTAGTTTACATCTCAGCAGTCACCCATCTTTTTTAAACCACCTCTGTCTTCTACGGGATAGTTTCCTTTATGAAAAAAAGAAAAAAAAGATTCATTTTTTAAAGGGACCTTTAGGTAGGTTGCATTCAAGTCTTCAAAAACTACTTTTAACCTAAAATTGTGTAAAATCAGTTAAGATTAAGTAATACAAAAAGAATACCTTTTGGAATTGTTTTTGAAATATAAAATAACATGGTGGGATGCCTTCTCATAATCCAATAAATACATCAAATGATTTGATACATACTGGGTATAAAAGCAAGAGCACCTATATAGCTTTTTCAAGAAAAGATGACTCAAAAGATCTTGTGTTTGATTAAAGGATTAAAGTAACATAAATGGAATGCAGTAAGTGGTGTCTTCTGAGCTGTACTGGTAAAAATGCATGAGTAAACGCTAAGTATTTATTTATTTTTTTAACCAACATTTTTAAACTAATTTTATTGGACTACAGAGAGTATCAAGATCAAAGACTCTGAAGGAAAAATATGTCATCATTCATATATGAAGATCAAGTTCTACTGGCAAAACAAATAAGAAGGATGAAAGGAGAATTGTTGCCCTGTTTTCAATTCTTCATGAAACAAAAATCTAATCTTCAGTAATGTGTTCAAGTTTTAATATTTCTTACCACTGGCATTTCAGTCCTTGACAGTTGTTAATGCATTTTTTCACTTTACATTACTGTAGAAATGGCATCACATTCTATAAAATGCCTCTCCAGGAACCCAGAGTCACACACTAGCCATATTCTTCAAACAAAATAAACCCCAGCTGACTAAGCTTTATGTGATATGGACAATTTTCTTCCCCTTTTTGCTTATTTTCAGAATTGAAAGCAAGTTTATGTTCTCTAATGTCATATTCTATTTTTAAATAAATTTCAATAAATTTTTAAAAGATAGCTTTTAGGGGATGTCTAACTTTCATGTATATTCTGATTGCCCCAGAGAGCTAATCTGGGGCAGTAATTTCACAAATGCCCAGACTACCATAGGCAGGCAGTACTGAGGGCAGACACGAAACCTAAGATAGATATTGTACTAATTCTTCCCACAGTGAATAAACTAAATGCTAAGATTCCAAAATTGAGAAACATTTAAAATAAATTGGTTACAAACAAAACTTTATCTTAGATCATCTAAATAGAAATTTTTATATTCTAATTTTTAAAATGCTCACTGAAGGAATCTACAGCCCCTCCCTACCATCCATAATTTAACCCTAGTGAATGGTTATCAATCTTGGTTACAAATTAATGTCACCTGGGAATCTCTTAAAATGTGTCCATCACTACCTGGACCCTAATCAGATTAAATTAAATTTTTAAATTAATTGAAATTAGAATGTCCAAACATTGGGCAAGAGCAGCAGTATGCTTTTTATTATTATTATACTTTAAGTTCTGGGGTATATGTGCAGAACGTGCAGGTTTGTTACATAGGTATACACGTGCCATGGTAGTTTGCTGCACCCATCAACTCATCATCTACATTAGGTATTCTCCTTATAGTATCCCTCCTCTAACCCCCCACTCCCTGACAGGCCCCAGTGTGTGTGACGTTCCCCTTCCCATGTCCATGTGTTCTCATTGTTCAACTTCCACTTATGAGTGATAACATGCAGTGTTTGGTTTTCTGTTCTTGTGTTAGTTTGCTGAGAATGATGGTTTCCAGCTTCATCCATGTCCCTGCAAAGGACATGAACTCATACTTTTTTATAGCTGCATAGTATTCCATGGTGTATATGTGCTATATTTTCTTTATCCAGTCTACCATTGATGGGCATTCAGGTTGGTTCCACGTCTTTGCTATTGTAAACAGTACCACAATAAACATATGTGTATATGTGTCTTTTTAATAGAATGATTTATAATCCTTTGGGTATATACCCAATAATGGGATTGCTGGATCAAATGGTATTTCTAGTTCTAGATCCTTGAGAAATCGCCACACTCTTTCACAATGGTTGAACTCATTTATACTACCACCAACAGTGTAAAAGTGTTTCTATTTCTCTACATCCTCTTCAGCATCTGTTGTTTCCTGACTTTTGTTGTTTCCTGACTTTTTAATGATCGCCATTCCAACTGGCATGAGATATTATGGTTTTGATTTGCATTTCTCTAATGACCAGTGATGGTGAGCTTTTCTTCATGTTTGTTGGTCACATACATTTCTTCTTTTGAGATATGTCTGTTCATATCGCTCACCCACTTTTTGATGGGGTTGTTTGTTTTTTTTTCTTGTATATTTGTTTAAGTTATTTGTAGATTCTGGATAGTAGCTTTTTTTCAAATGTACAGATTACAAAAATTTTCTCCCATTCTGTAGGTTGCCTGTTCACTCTGATGATAGTTTCTATTGTTGTGCAGAAGCTCTTTAGTTTAATTAGATCCCATTTGTCAATTCTGGCTTTTGTTGCCATTGCTTTTGGTGTTTTAGTAGTAAAGTCTTTGCCCATGCCTATGTCCTGAATGGTATTGCCTAGGTTTTCTTCTAGGGTTTTTTGGTTTTAGGTCTTATGTTTAAGTCTTTAATCCATCTTGAGTTAATTTTTGTATAAGGTGTAAGGAAGGGGTTCAGTTTCAGTTTTCTGCATATGGCTAGCCAGTTTTCCCCACACCATTTATTAAATAGGAAATCCTTTCCCCATTGCTTGTTTTTGTCAGGTTTGCCAAAGATCAGATGGTTGTAGATGTGTAGCATTATTTCTGAGGCCTCTGTTCTGTTCCACTGGTCCCTATCTCTGTTTTGGTGCCAGTACCATGCTGTTTTGATTACTGTAGCCTTGTGTATATTTTGAAGTCAGGTAGCATGATGCCTCTAGCTTTGTTCTTTTTGCTTAGGATTGTCTTGGCTATACAGGCTCTTTTTTTGTTCTATATGAAATTTAAAGTAGTTTTTTTTGTAATTCTGTGAAGAAAAGTCAATGGTAACTTGATGAGGATAGCATTGAATCTATAAATTACTTCGAGCAGTATGGCCATTTTCATGATATTGATTCTTCATATTCATGAGCATGGAATGTTTTTCCATTTGTTTGTGTCCTCTCTTATTTCCTTGAGTAGTGGTTCATAGTTCTCCTTGAAGGGGGTCCTTCACATCCCTTTAAGTTGTATTCCTAGGTATTTTATTCTCTTTGTAGCAATTGTGAATGGGAGTTCAGTCATGATTTGGCTAGTAGTATGTGCCAAAAACTTCCCAGGTGATCCTGTGTGTGGATAGGCTAGCAAATCACTGTTTTAGAATTGTTCACTTATATTGTGGTAATTGGCTTCAGACCAATTGTTATCTACAAAATATAGTGGATTTCTATACCTAGATCCTAGGGTTTTTTTTAAAATTAAGTTCATTAATTGATCCAAACACTCAGGATGTGCTTATCTTTCTTACTTTCTCTCTCCATTCCCCCCCTTTCACAAACACACACACACACACACACACACACACAGAGTTGATAAAGTGATGAAGTAAAAGATCAATAATAGCCATCTTTTTAAAGAAGTTTCTTCTTATAATATCTAAAATCTTAACTTTTACCTAAGATTTTTTTAGTAACCAAAACTCTGGATACATTTTAAGTAGATGTGAACAAAATAACATATAAATGTTATAAATCAAAAAAATTGATATTTTTTGAAGTCTCCTTTAAAAAAAAAAAGCCTTTCTTATGACATTGACAAAGCTACTTAAGTATCTAGAAAGCGTTGAAAATATAGGGAGGTTTAAGAATAGGTTAAATTGTATGAAACTGCTGACATGCAACCATGCTTAAACCATGACTCAGTGATTTTATATGGTTCAGATGAGAAGGAATCTAATCTCTCACTTCCATTTTAATTTTCATAATCTATATTTGCTTGAGGAAACCCTGCTACATTATGAAATTATAGTGACATTTGTTATAATGACAGTTACTGAATTTCTAACAGAAAGAATTAACTGAAACAAAAAGTTGAAAATATAATGTCATGAATTTTCTCTGTTATGGACTATTCTTTTTATATTTTCTAAACAAAGTGTTGTTTTATGTGTGTTCTGCCATCCTAGTCAAGGACCTAATATTGGAAAAGCTAAGGCAGAAGAAAAGGACCTTAAGAAGCTAAAAAAGCTGGAAAAAGAAGAAAAAGACTTCAGGAAAAAATTTAAAGTATGTCATATCTAAATATTATGTAAAGTACAAAGCACTATTGAAAAATCCGATGATTTTTAAGTGTCAAAATGCACACTTTAAAATATAATTATCAATATTACAGTTAGCCATTATAACTCTTTTACTTTGTACAAAATTTATTTTAGATTTAAATTTATTTTTATAAAAGATTAAGCAAACTATAATACAGGCACAGTATTCATATTGTGATAGTCATCTAAATTAAGCTGTTCTTTGAACCTTAATAAGAAGGTACTAAAAATAGTTGTTATATTAGGTATGTGAGGTTGTGAATGATGTATGTCCCTCAAGATTTTCTTTAATATTCTTACATTATATTTAGAAAACACTGAATTAATTCTTTAGCAAATACCTATTTAATAAATCTGTCAGTACATAAGTTGTTTTAATATTGCACATAAACCAATAATTTAAATATTGTTCTTTTTTTTTAGTATGATGGTGAAATTAGAGTTCTATATTTAACTAAAGTTACATCTTCCATAACTTCTAAAAAGTGGGGAACCAGAGATCTGCAGGTGAAACCTGGTGACTCTCTAGAAGTTATACAAAACACAGATGATACAAAAGTTCTCTGCAGAAATGAAGAAGGGAAATGTAAGTCACTACTTGTACTATAATATATATATGTCACTCCAGAATTTAACAACCAAACAAATTTTAGTGACTACTCTGTGTTTACTCTTTATCTTTTTGCTTTATCCTTTGTAAATTTTGGCAAATATTAAAAAGTTGATCATTTTGCTGTACTGAAATCAATATATTTTAATTTCTTTTCATTTACTATCTGCTATCTATATACCCTGGTGTCAAAGATAATGCCAAATTACTGCTTCTCAAAATGCAGTCCTATAGACCATCAGCATCACAAAGCCCTTGTGTGCTTATCAAAATCGCAGTTTCCTGGACCCACCCTTGACTTGCTGAATCATGAGTTCTAGAAATTAGGTAAAAACAGTGATCATAACTTCTTCTCTAGCTTGTTCATGTGTCTGACACTAAAGTGAAAACTGCTGTGCTAAAGTAGACAGTGTCTCTTGCTCTGGCTTGGTTTTAAAATTGTGTTGAATTTCGAATTATATAGAATTGTATAGAATTCTGTTGCAAATTCACTTGTTTTCATTTCCTATTTGAACACACTTAGTGCAACATAATATTCCAAATAAATCCAAAAAAGCTCCCATCTCCTTTGACTTTATCAGGTATTAAAGCTGACAGATGGGGGCCAGGTGTGGTGGCTCTTGCCTGTAATCCCAGCACCTTGGGAGGCTGTAGCAGGATGATTGCTTGAGCTCGGGAGTTTGAGACCAGCCTGGGCAACATAGCGAGAGGTAGACTTTACTAAAAATCAAAGAGAAATTAGACAGATGTAGTGGTGTGCGCCTGTAGTCCCAGCTACTTGGGAGGCTAAGGCAGAAAAAAAATCACTTGAACTGAGGACTTCCAAGATGCAGTGAACCATGATCACACTGCTACACTCCAGCTGGGGCAACAGAGTGAGACCCTGACTCAAGAAACAAACAAACAAAAAAAATGGAAAATAAAAGAAAGCTGACAGATGGAAATATTTCTGTCAAATTTCAAAAGAAAGCTTATTTAAAGTCAAGATAAGAGTAATTCAAAATTACGTTGTCTTTTATTTGAAATTGGATAGCCACCACAGCTGCCCCATATCAGCTTGGTCAATCTGCATGGAAAACATGGACTCTGAGTTTAATTTTAATGGGAGGAAGGTGACTCAGAGACAGGAATTGAAATGGAGTTTCAAGAATAAAACACAGTGACTCAAGGGTGGAGGAAATGGATGTAAAGTTTATCATGGAGGAGGTGTGGTTGGCTTTTCAAAGGAAAATGAGGCATGTGGGTATGAAAGATAAAGGGCAAGGGCAGTGTAATATTAAGATTATAAGTTCACTGATGATAATGTGTAGAAAGATCCCCAGGAAACAAAGAAAACCCCCATTCAGACTAGGATTTGCAAGGGTTTACCTTAAGGAATAGCCGTAAGTGCAAACAGAACTATAAGCATCAAAAGCTCATCAAAAAATGTTTAAAAGTTTGAAGATTTTTAAATTATTAAATGTTATGATGAATCTACAAATTGAATATTCTAAATAATAATTATGATAATAATGTGCTGAATCTCTCATGACATATGGTAGATAAAGTAAGAAAGCTATTTAATTTGGGGTAGGATTTATAGCCATGTTATAAAAATTATAGAAATAAGAGAAACCAAACTAAAAGAAATTAAATACTAAAATAGAAATCAGGCTCAAAAGGATGTTGACTCTAAATGATACGTTTTCTGTCTTCTACTTTGCAAATAATTTCACATTTTTTACAACAGAGAATTGTTGTAGTATTAGTCATATAGACCTCTCTCCAGAGCACAAGCTGAAGCTTGTACATATCTTGGCATCTACTATACCAAGAGGTATAGTAGAAGAAAATCTTGCCATAGTGACCTAAGTTTTCTATCTTTAGCAGCAAATCTTATCTAAAGCAATGCTCCTCCAACTTTGAAGTGCATACACATCAATGGGGATCTTGAAAATGCAGAAGTGAAGTCTGGCATTCTTTTTTTGTTTGCTTATTTTTTCCACCTTACATTTGTAAAAATGGCATGACATTCTACAGTTAAGTTCCCAGGTGATTGATGCTGCTGGTCCTTGGATCAGCATGGATCTTCACATATCCTGAGTAACAAGGATGTGATGATCTCATCAACAAACATGAATGGATATAGATGGACAGGAATAGTTATGGAATCAGTAAGATAAATTCAGAGAAGAGACTCCTATCTTCCTAGGAACCAGCGGACCTTAAGAATAAGTAGCCAAGGCCGGGCGCGGTGGCTCAAGCCTGTAATCCCAGCACTGTGGGAGGCCGAGGCGGGTGGATCACGAGGTCGAGAGGTCGAGACCATCCTGGTCAACATGGTGAAACCCCGTCTCTACTAAAACTACAAAAAAAAATTAGCTGGGCATGGTGGCGTGTGCCTGTAATCCCAGCTACTCAGGAGGCTGAGGCAGG